AAACCAGAGACATTATGAAAAAAATGCAAAAAGAAATCAAATAAAAGAAAAATAAAGGCATATAAAAGAATCAGGGCTGGCGTGGATTGTAATGCAATGATGGCGCAATTCTATTGATTGACTTCTATGACGTCATTATATTCGAACGACAAAATGGCGCCAACACTTATTAGTCGTCTGCATTCGGAAGACATTTTCGTACGTTTATTCTTGCTCTTGTTTTTATCTGTTCTCCCTCTTTTTTTGACAGCCTCAAATTTTTGTTCAGTATTTTATTTTCTCCAATTTCTTTCTCAGTCTCTTTGTATTATTTTCATCTTTTACTTACCATCTTGCTCAGACATTCTCTTTCTATCCAAACTTTCAACAGGAAACTCTAGTCTCCTCTCTTTGGAAATACTTTTATAATTGTTAGAAGCAGCCGACAAATGCCGACATTTTTTTTTTTTTGTTGGAGGCCAAGTTAAGATACCTCCTTGTGTAACTGACGTTCACTCTACTTCCTTCATCTCTTAAACACTTTTCTTTCTATATTCTTTTGTCTTCCTGACATTATTCTGCGTTATGTCTTGCGTTGTTGGCGTCTTTCAAAAACGCTCTGTCGTCAATCTGCATTTGTTTTGCATTCGAACGGATAAGGTTTTCCTTTCTGTTCTCTTTGCTTTCAAGAGAATAACTCATGTGTACAGCATACTTAAGTTCACCAAATTATTTCTTTCGTAACCACGCGTCATCTTTCTCATTTTAAAAAAAAAATGTAATTCAATGATTGCAAGTTTTACGAAATCAAAAAACCCTCTCGGCGGTCATCGAAAGATACGAATAGTAACATTCAATTCACATAAACTAGAAAGGAATCATCGTTTTATTTAAATATTAATAATAATAATAATAATAATAATGGTTACGTAGATTAAAAGCTAAAACCAAGGGTTTTATTCTTGCTGAACATGACCAATGCCTATTAACTAGAAATTACTAAGTACACATACTGAAAAATTGTGTTACGCCGAAATGCAGATTTTGTGATAAATATCCCAAAACAATTGACCATCTTGTATCCGGTTACACGATGTTAACACCCACTGAATATAAAACTCGGTATGACAAAGTTGTCTAATATCTGCACTGGAAAATATGTAAAGTTTACAAGAACGAAATTTCAAGAAACTGATATAAACATCACCCAGGCCCGGTTACACAGATAGGGCTTGTAACAAGGTGACTTTACAATACACACAGACAGAACAATCAAATCTAATCGTCCAGATATCCTGATCAAAGAACACAGAATCAGAATGTACTTTCTTATTGAAGTGCCAATCCCTGCAGACGGTAAAATATCTTTGAAAAAAAAAAAAATTATCGAAATGCATGGATCTTGAAATGGAAACCTAAAAAATGTGGCTTATGAGGACAACAATAATTCTACTTGTAGCTGGAGCACTCGGATTGAATATAAAAGGTTCCGATAGACTCAGTGAAGTGATCTCTGGTAGCCTATGACTTAAAGAAATAAAAAAAGATTTCACTCACAAGAACAACTCACGCATTACGAAGAGCTTTATCTATGTAAAATGTGTGTAATCTTTGTGTTTACTTATTTATTTATTTATTTATTTTTTTTGGTAGGAATTGTTACAAAAGTGATCAGTGAAAAATGTGATGAACCCATTTCTGAGGTTCGATCTCTGGTTTGGAACCGGAAGATAAGCTCTATATCTTGAAAAAAGAAGGCCTGTTTTTGTATCGGCTTTCCCTGTCTTAAATGATCACGTATACCCACGCTAACGAATTCGATCTACCCGCGCTTGTGAATTCATTGTTCTTCACATAGGCAGATCGCCAACCAAAGCTGAAGAGATAAGGCTACCCTAGTATTTAACCCGTGGAAGGAAAAAAATGGATTCGTACCTTTCCCTTGTGCGAAGCTGAATGTAACGTACTGCAAATGAACAAAACAGTACACAGACCGGAAGAGAGAAAGATAGGATAAACCGTAATATGAACTGCAAAGTATAGAAAGTTGTGGAGATCTATGGTCAGCGACGTTCTACAGGGGCACGTCTCATAGAAGAAGAATAATAGCGTGAGATACGCAATTAATATCACACAGAAAACGTAGCAGACAGAGAAAGAATTATCTACACAGTATCATTTCCAGTTCAAACGTAATTGTTGATTCAAAAGGCGAATCAGTGAATATTATCGATCAAGGATTCATGCGATCAAAACTGTTTGTGCGTCAAAACTGTTCCTTTCAAAGTAATTCTTTCTCGTTCTCGACTGTTTGTGAGCCGGTGCAACGCCTCTCCCTGCCAGCGGCGTTGGGTAGAGAATATGATAAAGCCATTTTATAAATAATCAATCGCCTGATTCTTCACGTGTGAACAACAAATTATATTTTGATTGCCTCCCATATTGTTCCTTCGAGGCGAGAAAAAAAAACAAAAAATAACTCCAGACAAAAACATTGAAAGCAATACTTGGCTCACGTTTTGTTACCCTCGTTACCCCATAATAGTAGTAAATGCTAGAAACGTTGTATCTTAAAACAAAATAAATAGAAAGCAATAGAAAACTGAAACAAAAATGGACGGTTACTGGTACCGGAAGTGGATATGTCTCGTCCACTAAACACAACAAATGATAGATAGATAGATAGATAGATAGATAGATAGATAGATAGATAGATAGATAGATAGATAGATAGAAAAGAAACAGGTGTATTTAGATAGCTAGATAAGAAACGAATGTATTAAGAAAAAAAGAAAGAAAAGAAACGAATTTAATCAGATAGATAGATAATAGATAGATAGATAATAGATAGATAGATAGATAAGAAACGAATGTATTTAGATAGCTGGATAAAGACGAATGTATTTAGATAATAGATAGATAGATAGATAGATAGATAGATAATAGATAGAAAAAAACAGGTGTATTTAGATAGCTAGATAAGAAACGAATGTATTAAGAAAAAAAGAAAGAAAAAAAACGAATTTAATCAGATAGATAGATAGATAGATAGATAGATAGATGATATAGATAAGAAATGAATGTATTTAGATAGCTGGATAAGAGACGATGATTTAGATAGATAGATAGATAGATAGATAGATAGATAGATAGATAGATAGATAGATAGATAGATAGAAAAGAAACAGGTGTATTTAGATAGCTAGATAAGAAACGAATGTATTAAGAAAAAAAGAAAGAAAAGAAACGAATTTAATCAGATAGATAGATAGATAGATAGATAGATAGATAGATAGATAGATAGATAAGAAACGAATGTATTTAGATAGCTGGATAAGAGACGAATGTATTTAGATAGATAGATAGATAGATAGATAGATAGATAGATAGATAGATAGAAAAGAAACAGGTGTATTTAGATAGCTAGATAAGAAACGAATGTATTAAGAAAAAAAGAAAGAAAAGAAACGAATTTAATCAGATAGATAGATAGATAGATAGATAGATAGATAGATAGATAAGAAACGAATGTATTTAGATAGCTGGATAAGAGACGAATGTATTTAGATAGATAGATAGATAGATAGATAGATAGATAGATAGATAGAAATAAAGAAAGAAAGAAAGAAAAGAAACGAATGTAATCAGATAGATAGATAGATAGATAGATAGATAAATATGAACAGAATCAACCTCTCACACAACTATACTCTGAGTAGGGGTTGGTTTTGCTGTCGGAGTTTTCCTTGCCTTAGTTAACCGTGTGTTCCCATGCTTATATTTTTCTTTGCCTTAGACTGGTTGCTAACAATGGTTGAAGTGCCCTGTCTGCTCTACTACTTAACTCATACACAGGGGAAAAAAGATGGATTCCTAGTGGGATTTACGCGAAAGTCACTACCTCCCTAAGCTAAGAAATATATTTGAGTTACGCAGCGAACCAACTCTAGAAATAAAATGAATTAGAAAAAACATTTACGAATTTAATGAACGATAATGTTATATTAATTTAACATTTACCCATTAGGATCGGATTACTTAAACTTTAATTGATATATGGGCATTAATGTCGATATTTTCTACTTTATGACTTTTTTCTAAACTACTTTAAAGGTCAAATGGCTGTATGCGTTACATGATTTGATAGTAAGTAAATAAATAGATGCACGCTGATTTGCTGCCGTTTTGATTCGTGGAAGAAACATTTATGATAATAGAAATATACATATTTTTAAGCTATTACTCTAAATTTTAACGTGATGTGTTAACTATAAAGCCCAGTGGAATAATAAATCTTCTTATAAACATACATATGTGTAAACCTTTGAGTTCTATGTAACAAGTGCTATACACTTTTTAGCAGTGTATATTAATAATATTAGATCCAATTTGAAGACAGATTTCATTATACAGGGTGTTGCAGCAAAATCCGACACTTGACAAAAAGAAAACGAAATAGGTAATAAAAGCAAAAGTTGTATATACAGATACCCGACAATTTATTTAGCGTTACAGTTAAAGTTACATACTACATTATTTTTCAATGTAACCGCCGCCGACGGCGACGACCATCTCAAGGCGGGCGCGAAATGAGTCACACGCTTTGGCGACCATGTCCTTGTCCATAGCGGCGAACGCCTCCACGATGGCAGCCTTCAGAGAGTCGACCGTATTGTGGACGTGTTTGTTGGCCTCGATCACGTCCCAGAAGAAATAGTCAAAGGGTTTGCAGTCAGGTGAGGAAGGCGGCCACAAGTCCGGCGACCAGTGGTGAGGAATATTGTTGAACAGCCACGTCTTGGCCTTATGCAGGAACGGAGTCTTGCTGGAAGACGTAGGGGCGTCCGGCGGCGATCTCGTCCATCCAGGGCTTCACCACGCTCCTAAGCACCTCTTGTTAGACTCAGCGGTGACTCTCAGGCTCTTTTGAAAGAAAACCGGAAGCATGACGTTCCCCTCGCTGGAGATGACGCCAATGACCATGTCGGAGGAGGTCAACTTCGTATGCTTCACGACGAGGACCTCGCCTTTTGCAGATCCACCTGTCGTTCTGTCTGTTGCTCGTCTGGTCCTGGATGAAATTCTTTTCATCAGAGAAGAACCTCAACATCCCAGCGGACCCGTGCTTGAGCTCGTTCAGCAAAGCCGCCGCTTTGACCTTCCTCGACTCCTTGGAGGCATTCGTGGTGAGCATGCGGTGATACCTGCGGTAGGAGGAGTAACCAATGTCCTTCTTGATCCTTCGGCAGATCGGCGACTTGTGACAGCCCATGTCAGCGGCGATCTTGGCGTAGCTCTGGCTTCCATCATTGTCGACTGTCTCCTTGACGGCGGCGACGAACTCGTCGGTCCTAACAGCCGAAGAACGAACGTTGTGGGCATTTCGTTTGGCAATAAACTTGTCCTTGTTATCACACGCCTTCCACTTCCACCAAATGTCCATGACCATAGTCATCTCGAACCCAAACCAGGCTATTACTTCCGCAGGCTTCTTCCCGACGCTAAAAGAAGCTACTAACACTGCTATGCACTCATATTCCATCCTGGAAAAGGGTAGATAGAAAAACGTTCGATAGTTGTCAAACTGTCGGGTATCTGCATATACAACTTTTGTTTTTATATTGCCTATTTCTTTTTCTTTTTGTCAAGTGTCGGATTTTGCTGCAACACTTTGTACAGTCGATTGCCTACAAATGATTATTTTATGTTTTTGTTTGTCTTGTGGTGTCATGTATTTTAATAATTGTCGATTGTCACTTGGATACATTCTTGATATATATATAACCAGTTCGCAGTAATTAACTATGTTTCCCCCTTCTGGCAAATTACTTAAATGTACTTCAGTTATATCGTATTAATAATTTTAATATGTTGCAAGTTTTGTTGTTTTTTTTCAGTTGTTCTGTGTTACAGGGTCTGCATTTTTTACAGGTTCTTATTACGTTTGATCTAAGTATTAGGTTGGTGCAAAAATAATGACACAATAACGTCGTTTTTTGACCTTAAAAAATACGTCAAAAAACGACATTATTACGTCATTATTTTTGCACCAACCTAATAAAATCGTATAATGTGAGTAATAACTATTGCAATAACTTGTATTTCAAATAACATTAAATAATAATAATAATAATAATAATAATAATAAAATTGTTAATATTGTTACCTCATCATTTTGTATTATGAACTACTTTTAAAAGAGACCCAACGGTGGTCTAGTAATTATTATTATTATTATTATTACTTAAGCTTAATGTATGTAAAATTTATGATCAAGTAATGTCATTAGCAATAATAATGTACGTTTGCATACCAAATACAATTACCGGCACGATTAAATTATTCTCTTCAAATTCCCTCCCCAGGCACGGTGCTTATTTGATACCATAGGCTTATCAGTTTTCAAATAAATTTCTCCACGGCACAATTATTTGGTTCCCCGCTTATTAAACTTATAGAAAAAATTACTGAGAGAAAATTTATTTATTATTTTATAAGTTGCAAAATTCTTACCGTCACGATTATTCCAGACGTTATTTGAATTTGGTACAAAAAGGGTTCTCAAAAATATCTATCAAGAATATTCGTAGAAGCATTTTCAGAAGACTTTGTAGATCTAGCAAGCTTCCGGCAAAAAAAAAAAAAAAGAAGGAAAATTACTGACAGAGGCATATTACTTATATTTGTTAGCCATCGTCAAGATTGCAGAGTCGTTCCAATACTGGCCTCGTGTAATAATTCAATAAGGGTAGAGAGCACGAAGCCTATATTAGAAGACTGGCTGACTCAGTAGGCCGGGTACCAATGAGCATTAAACGGACGCTCGTTTCCATAAAACGGTAAAATTATAGCACGCATAGACAGTTTCAAAAATATCTAGGAACTGATTTTCGAAACTCTGTGAACGTTGTACATTGGTTTCTTTGATATTGAACCTGATAAATAAGTTTAATTAAATTTTAATTAATGTTTGATTATCTTTCATAAGATTTTGACAAAAACCACGAAATTCATTTTTCTTCTTTTTGGGTAGAAGGGAGTCAATATTTTAGGGAATGCAAATAGTAAATTACATGTCAACGTAATCTTTTTCAATTTATATTTTTAGAATATTAAATTTTTTCATCAAATACGTTATTAGATTTGTGGGTAATTTGCGTAAAAAACAAAATAAATAAATACCGTTTATCTATTTCTCATCTTAATTATAAATAAATATTCGCAGTTCTATGTTACCTGCAAAAAACTCAAAAACAATTTCCAGTCGTCAGTCTTAAGGAGACAGTAATGGATAGTGGCTCGGATTGAGGAATCGGAGAGCCGAGTTCGAATTCCAGTCGAATCCATTGCATTCACTTACGTGCTAATACCCTTGGAAAAACTATGAATCCTCTTCTTCCCACCAGCTATGGCCGATTTCTATCAACCGGTCTACCGCAGAAAGAAATGACAACCTACTGCGGGAAAAAAAATCTGCCTCATCAGTCATGTATCGAAAGATACATGATCGCCTAAACGTGTACCACGCATGGCACATAACTGACCACAGACCGGGTTCTATAGCCTTGGATGGTAACTGGACTACTGCAGAAAGAAATGGCAACCTACTGCGGAAAAAAAAATCTGCCTCGTCAGTCATGTATCGAAAGATACGTGATCGCCTACGCGTGTATCATGCATTGCACATAACTGAACTGAAAAGACAAAAAGAAAAATAACTATTTACCCCGTTTACATTGTGCAAACTGTTGTCCTCATCCTTATTGCAATAGACCCGACGTTTCGAGCGTTGTACGCTCTGGCCTTCTTCAGGTGCTATACGTTGGAATTTCGAACCGAACCTTATATTTCGTTGACCAGGGTAGATTGTTCTACTTCCACGTGCCATGCCTTTTCTGGATATCTCAGTTTCAGTTATTTCCCTCTACTCTCCAAGTTTTGTTCGCCTCAGCTGTGGCCAGGTATTGAACTCACAACTCTTTTGTGCCAGGTCACTGGGTTACTTTTAGCTACCGAGAAATAAAAAATAGTGTAAATAGTTACAATACCTCATCACAGAAATATAGACAGATACAAAAATAACTGTGTAAATGAGCTTGTTATATAGCGGTTATCACTGTTGTATAGCCTCCTCGTTCTGGGGAGGTTTTGGTCATTGGCGCCAATTTACTCATATGCTGTATAGCACCCACATGCTGGGAAGCCTTGGGTGACGGCGTCATTTCGATAATAAAGTTGCATTCTATTCTTTCACAGCCGGTGATCGCTAGTTGTTTTGAGTTCAGAGATAAAAGAACTTCAATACGGGGAATTTTACCTTAACTATTTTATTAACGTTCATGACGACATGTTCTATCTATCTAGTGGGGGTCGTTCCCACGCCACTGGGGGGCCTTTTCAGACGCGAATGAAAACACGTCTACATTGTTTGACGGTTAAGACTCCTGAAAAACCTTTCTAAATCTATCTTCATTCCCACGCTCGTTCAGCCAATCAAAATCGACTTCCCATATTTTGTCTTCCATCTGACCTCGTAGGTCAACCTCAGGAAGTCCAAGCAAAAATACACTTCTGCTAAAAAATTATTATTAAACATCCCTTACCTAATCATTTAAAAAAAATCATTTGTGAATTTTATTTTCAACAATATTACTCTAAAATCCTCTCTACTCTTCCGTGTCTACAGGGCATACATTTTTTTCCTGATTGGGCCTCGGTCACAGGAAGGCATGCACATATGCCATTCCTGAAAAAGGATGAACATAAACAACAGAATTCTGACCAGTTTTCTTTTTAAAGAATACCGGGCAATCCTTCGTCCATTCTTGGTCACTAGCTTCCGTGACTCGTGGTCAACACGACGACACGACAGTCGGGATACAATCATTAAAACAGAGAACTTTGAGTCTCCACTGCTTTCTTATACCCAGAGCCGCAGGTACCACCTCTACAATCCTGGGGATAACAAGATTCCTTGCCCCTTCATTTCAGACTACAAGAAATGTACATACAATTCACAGAAAAAAAAAATACTGGTTTAAAAATCACAGACTACATGCCAAAAGCCCCACACCACATCGCCAACCAATTCTATAACTGAGCCACATCCTTGCCACTTAAATTTTACACTTTAAATATACAATGATCCACACTTATTTCCTACTCACAGTGACACAGTCCACACGGTCCATTATCAACCTATTTATTTAACTACAATCAATTATTTTGTTAATTGCCTATTTTCTATAATTACTGTTATTAACCATCTGCCTCTGTACCAAAACCCAACTTGCATCATCTCAAATCCTTCTGTTCCTGGCTGAACCACGGGGAAAACAACAAAACCCGCTCAGCACCTCCATACTAATCTATTATTGGCTTTCCCGTGATTATAAGTACTTCCTTCCTTTAGCCGTCTATCTCAACTTGGCATCCTACGAGGCACCTGACCAAATCCGTTTTGGTCGTCAGGGCCATCTATAGGCCTCGTGAGTATCTTAGGGTATATTCATTCTATACTGAATACTTCATAGCGTACAGCGCCCATTCTGTCCAAACATTGTCCGATCTTCCTATCTACATAACCAGGTGTGACAATCTCTCCACTATCACCATAAAGATTAATGCTAGTCTTGAAGAGGTCAAGATTGTAGTGATTGGGAAATTAGTTCCACAATGCAACAGTTCTTGGTAAGAAGCTGAGTAGAACTTCCTCCTTACTAATGAAATACGAAGGGAATGGGGAGCTTTTATCATTGTGTATGTGTCATGGCGGGTCCCAGCTGCAGAGATCAAGGATTGTCTCACCTCATAAAAACCAATTTGATATGGCAACCACAGTAACACAGACTATGATGATGTTCTGACCTTATGCTCCCAAGAGGAATTTACAGAAACCAGAGAGAGGGGGGGAGGGAGAGAGAGAGAGAGAGAGATGGAGGGAGGGAGAGAGAGAGGGAGAGAGAGAGGGAGAGAGAGAGAGAGAGAAATAAAAACTGTAAGTTAAAATGATTCCTGACATCAGATTTAATCGACTGAAGTTAAAATAATATATTATCTTTGTATCAAGACCAGTACGCATGTAAAGTAGGCTATAACAAAATCTTCTGTGAGGGGAACAAAATTTTACCTTTTTACATCCTCTCAACATAACTATTAAGTAAATATTTTTCTGAGTTTTTCGATAAGAATACAGACAAGAATTAAATGATTAATTTTGAATAATACATTTATGTAAAATCGCTCTCTCTCCACACACACACAAATACACACACACACACACACACACACACACACACATATATATATATATATATATATATATATATATATATATATATATACAGGGTGACCCCAAAAAACGGGAACTTTTTAACAATCCAATAAAACCAAGAGTGATGGAAGAAAAATATTTTATTCATAGTAATTGAAACCTTAAAACGTGCCATTTAAGAAACAATGATGGAATTTTCATTTTTTCAAAAATTACGTCCTGTAGATGGCGTCCTCCTGTACGGATGCATTTTTGAAGTCTGCTGTTGAGATTCCTCATTGACTACTGCAACTTCCCAGCTGGGATACTGTGAATTTCATCTTGAATTCTAAATGGCAAAATGTTTACCTTCTCAAGATCTCTGTCTCGCAGTGTTGCCACTTGCTCATGTCTGGCAATACGCACTTCAAAAATTCCCGTTTTTTTGGGTCACCCTGTATATATACATATATATATTACGATAAACGTGCAATCAATTTACAAATTCATGAATCATTCACACAAAAACAAATGCAAAGGTTAATGATTTAATTGGCGAGAAATCCATCATCGCAAACAATTCAAATAATATACAAAAACCTCCGAATCCGTTATGAATGAAATGATCCTTGTTTCTATAAATTTTGTTTTTGTGTGAATGATTCATGAATTTGTAAACATATATATATATATATATATATATATATATATATAATAAAAGTTCAAGACTCAAGACCTATCTCTCGGAGTTTCATAGAGATTATTCTGCATATCAGGGGTAAGATAAAACAATTGATTCCGATTGAATTTATTAACAAACATCGTAACTAAATATGACATCAGTGAATAAATTCATTTGTTTTATCTTACCTTTGATCATTTCCGCGAAACTTGACGTCAGAAGATAAATCCTTGGATTTTATATTTCAGCTTATTTATTATCAATGCTTTATTTCTTAATACTGAACAAAGATTGTTCGCCTTAAAAGGTGTCACCATCATACCTTAACTCCATGGAAATGTGCGGACCTATATATCAATTGCGCTCTCACATGACCTGAATCAGTGTAAACGCTCTCTTAGCTGCTCGTCCGAGTTGGAAAGGGCCGATGAGAAATTCCATTTCGGAAATTATAGCGATATTTGGCTGACGGTGTTACGTGTGCAGTGGGAGTAACTAATGTATTGTATTATTGTCCATTGTGTACAGTGCAGTAACCGGCCACATCCATTTTTAAAAATTGGGGGGGGGCATGCAAAAAAGAAATGAACAAGAATGACCGAGCAATAAAAAAGAAATCACAATTGGTAAACTAAAATAATTAAGTTGTTAAGAATATCACCAAAAATAAGATTTAATGATCGGGAGTAGAGGCGTCTGGGTAGGATCATCTGTGTTAACACTGGCTCAAATCACATCCGCATTCAACGCAAGAGGAACAATACATATTCTCGCAGGTCTGCTCGGCTTTCCTTCACGGCCTTGTGAGTGATGAATTGTTTCCGCTCGGGGGTCACTTTCCCGCAGCACTTGCTAACCTCTTGCAACTCTACCGCTGTTTTCTTAGCTGGTGTTCGGGCGAACAATATTCCTTGTTTCCACCCGCCCAGGCCTTCATATCTAGGACCCGACATGCCACGTACACAAAGTCGAATCATCCCCATTTCCTTCGTATTCCATTGATGAGTAGGACGTTGCACTCAGACAGCTTGTTCCCCAGAACAGCTGCAGTAGAGGACGGACTCCCGAGAGAATGCTTCCGAGATCACTGCTATCTAAATCTTTTCAAGCCTAGACTCAACTGCTATGTATCCTACATAGTCTCATAATATCCTCCACCTACAAAAAACTGTACGCCGTTACAAGAACATTATTTAAGTAATCTTCTACATTGAGTGGCTCTTAGGCCTTGTACTGGTTGAACAATTGTAAAAAATGGATACTATTGTTAACACCATTTTACAGAATCTTACCTCGGCTGGTGACTCTGGAGAACTGAGAATATGTGGTGTGTTCCTATGTTACGATTCATGTTGTTTCGACCATATTTTAGGCCCTGTTGAGAGAATAATCATCATATTTAGCCTAGCCTGTTACATGGCCATATCTTAAGGTGAGGTATCCACTCGCTTAACAGTCGTATGGATCGGCTAGACAAGGTCGTGGTTTGTTTAACTGAATGAGATTCACTAGGCGCCTAGTGACGCGAACCTATTCATGTGTTTGCAAACGGTCACACGCGGCTGATTTGTGTGTGTTCAACTGAGTGCTTGAATATATCTAACCGCTTCTAATCACAGAGTACAAGCGCGAGTTTTTTAATTAATATTTCAATTAGAGAATAATGTCTCCAAGAGAATTCTGGAGTAGACAATTGACAGACGTTTTCCATATGTAGAATTGAGCATTTGCCAATTACAAAGACGACGCGCGGAAGATGAAAAGACGAATTCCCCGTTTTACTGAATGACCTGAAAATACAGCACAATTGTTCCACGTGACTTTTCTTGTTTTTTTTTTTTTTATTTATTTCATATCTTCTCTATCCTTCCCAGTTCTCTCTTATAGTTCTCTCTCATTCCTTCTCTCTTATTACCTTCCTCTCTGTCCTTTCTTTTTCGCATCTCTCTCTCTCTCTCTCTCTCTCTCTCTCTCTCTCTCTCTCTCTCACATTTGTATTATTTCGATTTGGTCTATCAAAGCCTATTTCCCTCTTAATCTCTCTTTTGTTTCTCTCTCTCTTTCTCACTATCTATCTATCTATCTATCTATCTATCTATCTATCTATCTATCTATCTATCCCCCTCTCTTCATATCTATCTATCTATCTATCTATCTAGTCTTTTTTCTCTCTTTTTCTTTTGTTTTCTCTTCGCATCTCCCTCGCTCTCATTTGCATTATTTCGATTTGATCCATCAAAGCATGGTTCCCTCTTAATCTTTCTTTTTTTTCTCTCTGACTCGCTATCTATCTATCTATCTATCTATCTATCTATCTATCTATCTATCTATCTATCTATCTATCTATACCCCTCTCTTCATATCTATCTATCTATCTATCTATCTATCTATCTATCTATCTATCTATCTATTTCTATTGTTCTTTTGTTTTCTCTTCGCATCTGCCTCGTTCTCATTTGCATCATTTCGATTTGACCTATCAAAGTATGGTTCACTCTTAATGCCACTTTTGTTTCTCTCTATCTCTATCTCATTTTTGCTTTTCTCTCGTTTTCTTGTTCTCTCCTCTTCTCTCTCTCTCTCTCTCTCTCTCTCTCTCTCTCTCTCTTTCTCTCATTTCGTCTCTCTTGCTCTAATTTTGTGTCTCTGTTGGGTATTTTTCTTCTTTTATCTATCAAAGCCTTTTTCACTTAGTCTGTCTCTCCGTGATTTATTCTCATTCTCTCTCTCTCTTTCTACCTTTCTTTCTTTTTATTTCATCTGTCTCTGTTTCGCATTCTTTCTATTTTATCTATCAAAGCTTGTTTTCCTCTTAATCTCTCTCTCTCTCTTATTTTTCTCTCTCTTTCTCCGTCTCTCTTGCTTTCCCTCTTTCTCTCTTTTCGTGTCTCTTCCTTTCATTTCCGATCTATCTTTGTTATTCTTCCTGATTTTTACCTGTCAAAGCATTTTTCTGTCAATCCCTCTCTTGTATTTTTCTCCTTTCTTTCTTTTATATATATATCTTCTGATTATATATATATATATATTAAAGCACTTGTTTTGCAAAATATTCCGTAACTTTAACGGATAGAATTTAAAATATTGAAATAACTATAACAGGGCGCGTTCACGCGTGTTATTTTTTTTATTTTAAAGTCACTATCAGAACGGAATTCAGATTCTATCGCACTTACAATAAGTTTATCTTTACAAATTTGCCCTGAAGATGATCTTAGAAAAGGTCAAAAGTACTTAGGTTGAAAAAAAAATCTACGGTGTCTTCCTTGATGAACTTCAACTTAACATGAAAAAACTGATTAGACAACAGGAAAGGTTCAGTATAAAAATAAGTAGACTATATATATATATATATATATATATAATATACACAGATACACACACACACATATATATATATATATATATATATATATATATATATATATATATATATATATACACAGTGCTATGGGTAAATTATCGCCATGTTATATTTTTAATTTCGCGCATGCGCATTGTTTGTTTTTTATTTTGTCGACTGCACAGTATAATAAAATCAGTTGGACACCATCTGTGAGAAATTTGGAAACGGCATGCTGTACTAGTTGGCATTCGCACCGGAAGCTCCAATACGAACATTTTAGAGTGTTTGGGTGTCATTCTAAGGACAGTACAGAGCATTGAGAAAAATTTGGGTAGTCTAATGGTGATTACGAAAGTATGACAGCTCGAAAATCTCACTCTGATCGTTCTGATAAGAAAAGAACTCCCGAATCTGTTGGTAAGAGCGTCAGATCCACCATAGATGCCTACATCAAATGTCTTGAGCAGGTATTACTGCTCTGGGTCAAAAGGGTGCCTGCTGAAAGATCCTATGTCTGGCAACAGGATTCTGCACCATGCCACACAAGACAGACAATTGTCAGACATTTTCTGCGGCCACATCATCCCTTTTATCAGACTGTGACCTCCTTGATTATTATGTATGGCGTGCAGTTGAGCATGAAGCCAACAAAACTCCTTGTGATACCAAAGATGAACTGAAGTCTAGAACTATGGCATTTTTCACTAACTTAAAGAAGGAGACCTCCCAGAAGAGATGCAG